GCCATGCTGACCGTATTTCCTGTGACACGTTTCAGCGGTATTATCTTGCTCTGATCACCTGGTCCATTATCTTTGATTACCAAAAAGAACTTATGTCCGTTCACTCCTCTAGAGGCACATTCACCAACATCCGTGCTGAAATGCACCCCCGGCACATCACACATGATGGGCAAATGGTCATAAATCACGGGTTGAGCCCCTCCTTTTACTTTACACGACTCACACGTTGCTTTTACTCGTGCTGTTAGTTCTTTCAGCTTTGGTACAGAAATATTTTCTTTTTTGAAAATCTCACGCAACCGTAATACTCCTACGTGTCCGTAATTTTTATGCGCAAATGTCACCAGCTCTTCATCAGCAGCAGCGCTCCTGTTCTGTAAAAACGCTGTGGGTAGAAACAAAGCGCGAGCTTGTACTAATTCATCCACTTCTGCGTTTCCGATCTCATCCTCGCTTTTTCCATTTGTATGGCTATTTACATGTGTCACCTGAATCTGTAATTTTTTCTTATAACACGATACTAAAGTCCACAAGTCAGCGTGTTCCAATCTCTCTCCATCAGTTTTCTGGAAATCTTTAGCTTCCCAAAATGCTAAATGATCATCCAGCCCGTCTTTAACGTATTTAGAGTCTGTGACCAATCTTACTGATCTAAGCTTCAGCTTACACGCGTCAGCGAGCGCCATGACAACGGCCGTCAATTCTGCAGTTTGAGCGGATCCGACAGTCTGTCCAGCTTGTTGATATTTCCTGTCCTTTAGCAGTCTCACAAACCCCCACTTACAGAAGTCTGCATCTGCTGTTTTCTTATATCCATCAGTGTAGTAAACTGCCTCTGGTTTTATGGCTTTAACAACCTCTTTCCTGTCAGGCTTAAGTTTTGTTTCTCCTTCCACGTGAATCTGCGGGTTTGCCAATATGGGGAATATTCCTGTTCTAGGATTCTCTCTTTAGGCATTGAATTAAGCTGTCCTCCCTGCGGAGTGCTTCGGTTTACATCTAAAGGTTGGGAGGGGCTGCACGGCGAGTAGCAGTGAGTTTTCACTGCCGAATCTCTAGCCATACATCCACCTCGATAAAAATCATATCCTTGGCCTAAATAAGCATGCTTAAAAGGTTGCCCCCATCCTGGTTGCAACATGACTTCTTCCCTACTTTTTGCTGCTTGAATTGCTGAAGCCGTGAAGCCATCTACAGGGTACCAGTCTGGAAAAAGATTTTCTGCTTCTTCTCCTGCATAATTCTGGTCTCCCTCTGTCTTAATTGCAAACTGGCCTCGTCCTGGTTCTGGAACCGGTCTAACTGGGCCTATGTTAGGAGGTGCCTGAGGGTCATAATATTTCATCTGTACTGGACGGCTTTTCTTATTTAGTCCTCTAATGCCATAAACTATAGGATTTGTCTCATCTCCTTTTTCTGCTCTCTGGGGTTGTTGCTCTACATTTTCTCTGTTCTCACCTTGCTCATGGGCTGTAACTGGGGATAACCAACTCACTTTTTCAGGTGTTTTGCCTCCAGGGATCCGAGTGCTGCATTTTTGTTGGGATCCGCATTCTGACCTGAGCTTCCCTTTGGGTGTGCCACGCACCACCAGTTGGGAACCCTGTTCTTCCTCCGATTCAGCCTCACTCTCGCTGCTTCTGTCTCTGGCCTCAAACCAATGTTTGACTTTCTTCTCTACTCGCGGCAAGGCTGACTTATCCACTAAAATTACGACCGGGATGTCTCCTAGCCTGCTAGAGGCTTCGGAATAAATCACTAAACCTGCGCCATATGCTTCATTTATCCGACACACCTGGGGTTTGTTATTAAGCTTAAACACTAGCCGTCGCGCTCCTAAATCCAAGGCTTCTGACACCACCCGCTCCCAAGCTTGGTGAAAAGAGATGTCGGGATTATGAGGGTCTACGTTAATTATGGAAATCGCGCTGACACGACCTTCCAGATTCCCTAATTGCTTGTCTAAGAGAGTAGTAATTTCTCCAGCTTCGTAATTACGATCTACCAGCGGGATCATAGAACTTCTGCTTTCTGCCCCTAAAAGTCTCCTCAGAGAACTTAAAGAGGACGTAGTACTGGCAGAACTTTGTGGATCTTTCAGAAAGATCAACACATCTTCTTCTCGGATCTCCGCATCTATTTTCTCGCCTGACAAAATTATCACCGGTTCTTGACCTATCATAACATGATTCGGAGGAGCCGCGGGACTATGCGGTTCTAACGGGGGAAAAGGAATTGGGTTTGGAGTCCTTTCAGCCCCTGACCGTCTCTGAGTCTCGTCTTTGTCCCACGCAGCAACATGCTGTTCAGTGGGCGGTCTCTCCGCTCCTCTCATGGGCACCTGAGAAGGGGTTTGTACATGTAGAAACGGGTTCCACTGCGCCGGCCGAACCGCGTCAGGCGGGTTCGGTGGGGGTGGAGGAAATCCGCTCTCGGAACCGGGGCTCACAGGGAATTCCCCGCGGAGCGCTGGATACAAAGGGGGCGCGGTCGGAACCGATTGGACTCCATCCCAGGAGGCCGACATTTCGACTGCAGCTCTTCTCCGGTACATTTCCGCTTGGAGCTCCGTGATCCCCAGTCGGTTACATAACGCCTGTCTCATTTGAATTGCCTCATTTTTGCTTCTAGATAAGAAGTAAATTGTTCTACTATTAGCCCGTTGAACCACGAACTCCGCCATAGCAGAGTACATCGCTCCCTGATCACATCGGTACTGCCCGACTCCAAATGGAGTGAGAACTAAAGGTTCCGGTCCAGTTGGTATTTGCTCAAGCAATCCCAGAAGGATCTCATATTGCTCACCCGTGGGGAGTTTCGCTGGATTTTCCCAACAACACCACGCTATCTGATTAAAAACAGGATCATTTTGTTGTTCTGCTAGAATCACCAAATCACCCACTAACGGAAATAAATGATTATTCTTTACATGAGTTTCAGCATTCGGACAGCGCTCCGCTGCGGCTTGAGCCGTTCCGGCCTCGTTCTGAAAGCTCCGGTTACAGGATACTGCTAAAACGCTTTGTGGTTCACCTTGAAATGTCGCTATTTCTCCGGTGACAAATCTCACATTAAGGAGAACATTTTCCGGTTTCACCGTTAAAGATCTATCTGCCATGGCTGGTTGAAAGTTTCTCTTTTTTATTATTTGTTTTATTTTTATTCGTTTTCACGTCTTATTCTTTATTCTTACTCTTTATTCCTTTTTATTTTTTGCCTAGCTTTTATCCTTGGCTTTTCTTACGTCGGAAAGCCGTGATTTCTTTATACCTCTTTGAGTTAATCGTCCGTTCTCCCAAATTTCTTTCCTTTTCGAGAAATTGGTGCGGTTTTCACTCCAAGGTTATAAGCTTATCAGGTCCATGGTGCGTAAGCTTTTATCAGCCTAAAAGACATAGTTCTACGTTGAATAGTCCGGTATCTAATATTTGAACCTTCGCCGATTAGCCCCACGTTGCAGGCGCCATGTCGCGTGCCCGTCCCATTTACCGGTTCCTTTAAAACCCAGTTCCGTTAGAACTTATGAGACGGTGCATCCATCAGGGTTCGGGGGTGTATCGACGAGTATAATCGTACCAGACCCGGGTTTGGACTACCTAATTAGAATCTTGTCTTTTATTTTAAAGGTGAAATGACTTGCACGAATAGCCAGCCCCAGAGTACTACACTTCTTTTAAACTCGTTACCTTTTGGTTAAGATACTAGAGAGAAGTCTGGAGGCAAGCCAAGCCTCTCAGCAATTGTTTGGGTTACCCGGAATTAATTGCGCCTCTAACAGCTTATGTGGGAGGTTGGTAACTATAAAATGATTTATGCTAGTTGATCAGGCTATCATAAGTTTATCAATTTATTTATTAATCCAACCTTCCAGCTGATTAGAGACTTTTTCAACCTGCAATCAGAGCCAAAATAACCTCGAATATTTTGCTTTTATCGCCCTTAAGACAACTCGTTACTCGCAAGGAGGGGAAAGTTAAAACTTCCCTTATCTTAAGGTTTCTTTATATTATTCTGTTATAAACTGTAAAGTAAGTCCTGATAATTCAGAGACCGATCTTCGACATGCTTACCTCTGTGCAATTATGGCCAGGGCCCCAAACGTGAAGCTTTAGAGAAAACCTGAAAGAATCAGGATTATGTTTCTTTTTCAAAAAAGGTTTATTACAAAATCAAAATACAAAAATTGGGTAAAGTGAAAAACAACTGCTATCCCCCACGGAGGAATTAGTTCAAAATGATTAAATAAGAGTTAGTTTACACTAGCTCTTGTCTTCTCAGAATCTCCCCAAGAACCAAGCCCTGCTCGATCTGAGCTGCATCCTTTTATATCATTTCTGAGACTGCTCTAAACAATGTAAGAGTCACAAGTCATTCTCTCCTGACAGTTTAGGTCAAGGGGTCATTTACCAGATACACTTTTTTAGCTCTACATAAGACATTTGGTATCATTTTCAATACATGCAGTATTCACATGAGGGCACAAAAGTTACATTCTGCACTCCTGGAATGAGAGCACAGGTCATAAATTTTCATGTTGGTAGCAAATTGTAGATCTTCCTCCAGCATTCCTGAGAGCTTCTGGGTCCAGTTGGACTTTCCTCACTCCATGCCAGTCCTTCTTTTCCCGCCAGAGGTGGAGTTAGGTGCGGGCCCAGGGGTGTGTCCATGGGTGGATCCAGAGAAGACAGCCTGTCTTTTGACCCTTTGCCTAGTTCTGTCCTCACCAGCAAGTCCTGAACTATTGTCCTCTTGACCCTTGTGTGACCCTTGTCTCTGACCACTGTTTCTAAGCCTTGACCGATTGCTCGGACTTGCAACACTGACACCAGCCCCTAGTGGATGAGGGTGGAACTGCAATTTTTGGTACTTCCGGGTTGGCCTCAATTTTTGGGCCGCATTGTGGAGGCTTGTGTCAGATTAAAAGAACGAACCCTCCCTGGTGTGTAGAACTGGTGTTCTACCTTGTTTGGTTACCTGTTTGCTACCTGTGTGTGTCTTAGGGCTCGTTCCTGCTGGCTGCTTCCAATGACTTTGCCAGTCGGATCTGGACTGTGGATGACTACAGACTAAGGGTGAGTCAGATTAGTTAATCTAAGCAGCTCAGTTGATTTTTAAGGAAAGGCTCAATCTGGTTTTATTTCTGAGGTTTAATAAAGGATAACTCATCCTCTCTGGGGAACGAGGTCACAAATCCTGAACACGGAAGTGCAGATTTTTCTAAACCAGGAAACTAAACTACAGGCAAAATAATCCCAGACCAGATTGTCTGCCTGGTCGACTTAATCCAGACCAGGATTACTGACAAATCTAGTAGATCTAAACCAGGTTTCCAGAAAGGAAAGGTGTCTATTATTCTGGTGAGTTCCTAATCCGTGGAGTCAGGTGACTCTTAACCTCACCTGTGTTTCGTTGTGCTTCCAGCACACCTTGACCGGCCACAGTGGGAAAGTGCTGTCGGCTCGCTTCCTATTGGACAACGCTCGCATCGTCTCCGGGAGCTACGACCGAACGCTTAAACTCTGGGACCTGCGCAGCAAAGTCTGTACGTGATTGGCTGTTACCTGCAGATGTGACCGGAGTTGTGGTGCTTTCACTGACCGCCTCTCCTCACCTGTGCAGGTATGAAGACTGTGTTCGCCGGCTCCAGCTGCAACGACGTAGTGTGCACGGAGCAGTGCGTCATGAGTGGACACTTTGATAAGAAGGTCCGGTTCTGGGACATCAGGTGGGTTCTGATGTGAGACCAGCAGCGTGCGCCGGTGAAGCAGGAAGTTCGTAGGAACTGATGGTGTGTGTGTGTGTGTGTGTGCGTGCGCCTCAGGGCGGAGAGCATTGTGCGAGACATTGAGCTGATGGGTCGGGTGACATCTTTGGATCTGAACCATGATCGCAGCGAGCTCCTCACCTGCTCCAGAGACGACCTGCTGAAGATCATCGACCTGCGCACCAACTCCGTCCGGCAGACATTCAGGTGAGCTCACCTGGTAGACAGGAAGCTGTAAACACCTGAAACAAGCTTCCTGTTGGGTCCCGAGCTAAACCAGGCTTTGTCTTCATCTGCTGTGTGTGTGTGTGGGTGCGTGCGCGTGCTCAGTGCTCAGGGCTTCAAGTGTGGAGCGGATTGGACCCGAGTGACCTTCAGGTGAGTTCTCCTCAGTAAGATCCGAGCGAGGTGAGACGGTTCGTCTGACTGCCCGTTTCCTCCTCAGTCCTGACGGCAGCTACGTGGCCGGAGGCTCCGCTGATGGAGCGCTGTACATCTGGAACGTCCTAACAGGAAAGGTGGACCGGACTCTGGACCGGAACCACAAGTAAGCCCCAGACCGGAGCCGATTTAGACGATCAGTGTGAAGTGTGCCTGACCTTTGACCTGGTGTCTGCAGCTCTGCCATCAACGCGGTGTCGTGGTCGCCATCGGGGGTGTACGTCGCCAGTGTCGAGAAAGGCAGCAAGGCCATCTTGTGGTCGGACTTGTGATTGGTTGGGGCTCCAGCGGGGGTGGGTCTTCCGGAGCTTTTAATGTTTTAACCAATAGAAGAGCGAGCTGGTGCTGCGCTCCACCTGGTGGTGAAGAACACTGAGCTGTGTCCACGCTCGTGGAGGAAGACCCATCAAGAGGAAGAACCTTTGGAAGCTGAGCCTCCGCGTTATTGGACCTGAACCAGGAAGTTCTCCACAATAAAAGCCCCTGAAAGTGTTTAGTGATGGGGATTAAAGACTCGAAGTGAATGTTTGTGGCACTTTTAGTCTGAATGTGTGTAACACACACACACACATCACAACACCGATGCGTGTGTGTGCTTCTGAAGCTGCTGAAGTGCCTCTGAGTCGTACGCTGGTGACTCACCAGCGAACTTCAGGTCTGACCAATCACAGACTAGCTTAAGAGGAGAAGGTGTGGTCTTTTTGCACAAATGAAGCTGTTCTGTGATTGGCTCCCGGGCCGTCTCAGGCCATAAAAGGGTTCAGGAGGTTCTGATGGATCCTGAGTCTGGGCTGGACCAGGATCAGCAGAGAATCAGCCGACCAATTATTGAGCAAAATAAAATCAATTAAACAACATTCAGAGTTTAAAGAAACTAATGGTATGTGTGTATGCACACACACGTGTGTAAGTGCTAATGCAGCAGTGTGTGTGTAGCTGCGGTCAGCACTCCGACTGCTGACTGAGCAGATCTGCTCCCAACTTCCCGATCACGTGTACAGATCCCGATGATCCAGCTTCTGCAGACACCTCTGGATTAAATAATTCCACCCTGTTTGGGTCAGTTTGTCTCCGGTCTTCTGATGGTGGAGGTTCTGTCCAATCTTCAGACATAAAATGTTATTTAAATCTCAGAATCTTGTTCCCCTCTGATCACTTGTGACCAGCAGCTCCTCTGGACACGGTGCTGCTCATCAGGACTGTCTTCATGTCCAGAAGTCCTGCTTTGATTTTTGTCTTTCAGCAACATTTCTTTTGATTCTTCAGCCTGATTATTCTGAAGGTCACCAGATCTCCGTTTGGGCCTGCAGACCCATCGGCAACAGCTGGGAGGAAATTCAGTCCAGGGTCCAGTTTCTAGACGGCGCACCACGGATCAGTTTTTATTTTCATATCTGTAAACCAGATCAGATTAGAGTGGGGTCACCTGTGTGTGTGTGTGTGTGTGTGTGTGTGTGTGTGTGTGTGTGTGTGTGTGTGTGTGTGTGTGTGTGTGTGTGTGTGTGTGTGTGTGTGTGTGTGTGTGTGTGTGTGTGTGTGTGTGTGTGTGTGTGTGTGTGTGTGTGTGTGTGTGTGTGTGTCTTGGATTAGTATGTAAGGATCCGCTTGCTGAGTTAGCAGAGATTATAAAGGCAGCTGATTACTGATCAGCATCTTCACACCTGCGCGACGCTTCCATCACTTTTACCACTTCAGGTCAGTCTGCTTCCTGTTTTTGTTCCTTTGTTCAGGTGTTTCCTCACCATGTGACCTCTGGGCTTACCTTTACATCAGTCCCAGTTTCTGACCGGGTCACCGATGTTCTGTCTGCTGGTGTATTTTTGTGATGCAGACAGGACAAGGTCAATTAAAGAACCTCTTTTAGGTTCGTGCAGCTTCGTGTCAGGGCTTCTCGATTAAATCTAAAAAGTTTCCAGTTCAGTTCTCTTTAGACGGAGCAGGGTCAAACTAAAAGTCTAATTTCAGACATAATTTGATCTGTGAACGTTCACCAGAAAAATCTAGGATGGTTACAGAAAACATCCTTATTCAGTAACACGTGGTCCCTGGAGACCATGATGCACCAAAGTAGTTTTTAAATTTTTCTTATTTCTGATTGTGAGAATGTAAATTCTGATTGAATGGGTAGATTTTTACTTTACTGTAGAACCATCAGGCTAGAGACGATTTAATAAATAATTTAATCATTGAAAATAAATCTGAGCCCGAGTAAACCTTGCATCGATTCTGCCAGCTGACTGGTTCTGCGGCTGAAGGCGGAGCTTCAATCTGACCTCATAAACGTGATGGTTAAAAACTGAGTTACCATAGTGATCTGTCTCCTGTAACTGCTCCTTTCTGAGGCCATCGATGGGTACGCTTCAAGTGCAACACTCACATCCACCAGCAGGTGGCACCAACACAACACAGGAATTAAATAAAGTATCTGGTTTTACGTCAGAATCATGCCAAATGAGAATAAACACATCTAAGTGTGACAGCTACTCAGTTAACATGATCCAGAGCGCAGTACTGTTACCATGGTGATACAGTCAATTCCCATCAGATCTTCATAGCGTGAAAAGCTCCAACTTTAAGCTCTAGTCCAGCTTAGTGGTCAGATCAACAGGGTCAGCAGCAGCAAGTGACGTTGCGACACAGCACCGCATCAACACCAAGGTGCTGGCACAGCTCCCGGGAGTTTTCCCGTTGATCCGAGGAATTTCTGGTGAAACACTTACTGATGTCGGTCAGTGACAAACATTTCTGTTTCAGGGCAACACTCGTTTTTCAGAATGAGTCCCAAACGGGTCGTCTTTAAGAAAGTCTCCAGAGACAAGTCGGTGAGTTGTCCATCCATCCATCCATCCATCCATCCATCCACCCATCCCATCCCAATGAGCCAATGAGCCCATGGAGGCTCTGTTTTTTCTCCTAGGTGGCCGTCTACATGGCCAAAAGGGACTTTGTTGACCACTGTAACTTCGTGGACCCAGTTGGTGAGTTGTGACACTCCCAGAGTGTTCTGATGTATTTTGGCCTCTGTTCAGAAACCACCTGACTTCAACCATTCAACATTGTTTTATTGTCACGACACACACACACACACACACACACACACACACACACACACACACACACACACACACACACACACACACACACACACACACACACACACACACACACACACACACACACACACGTTTATGGTGCCAGTATGTTCTGCAATAACATTAAAACGTAAAGACAAGTTATGAAAAGAAAAATAAAACAACCATAAACAAATATTAATCACTTACAGTCATAGGATAAATGTAAAAATATATATGTGTAAACAAAGTGAAACAAACTCAATGTAAACAGAACTAAAATGTGTTTGGGAACACCTGGACACGAAAGTTTCCTGTTTGTTTAGGTCAAACTGGATGGAAACGCAATAACTCAACCCTATTTTAAAGGATTTTTCGCCCTCTGGCGGATTAAAGCTGTTACTACATGCAGCATTAGCTAAACAACACACGACTCATCAGCACTTCCTATAGATTCCTTCAAATTAAAACATACCATTCACATCACGAGTTTTAGATTGTTATCAGCAGAGGTAGTCTAAATAACAGGAAAACAATGACGTCTTCACCCGTACAAACTACTTAACCTCTAAAGATTAAAATTATATGTTATATATCCGTGTTCAACAAGATAGCAAACATTTTGGTTTTATTTTGGTTTTATTTTGGCATTAATTGGGCATTTTGGCATCCTTCTGGCACAAAAATGTTCGAAAAAGTATTTTGGCTTAAATGTGGCATAATTTTGGGTTCCCATTATAGACAATTACATCAGCAAGTGTTTCTGTTTTAACCGTGGCGTAAATATGGTTTGCCATAATAGAAAATTAGGCGGCTGGCGATTATGGCATATTCTGGGTAGCCAGAAGAGAGCGGGACAGCGTCTGTGACTTCTGCAGGTGTGCTTTGGGGCTATTTTGGCAAGCCATAAAACTCATCAAATGGCGGGAAAAATAGTGATCGAAGACTGGGAATCAGGACTAATTTGTTCATTTCTCCAGCATCACGACAGAGGTGAGTACTATTTCTTCTTGAATCCTACCTTTTTGTTTGCTATAGTTTTGTTTTAGGTCTGTATTGTTTGTTTTAGCAAAATGTAATATTCGGCCACGTTCCGGGTTCCAGAACTAATGGCTTGGTTTCTGCTAGTAGATAGTGGCTGTGCCGCTGTTTAGATGAGGTACAGATGCTAACTGTGGCTAACCTACAGCTAACGGAACCAGCGTCTATATACGACCAAGTGGCTTTGCCAAAGGGTCACGCGGTTCGCTGCGGCTGCAGCAGACTGTAACGGTACCGGGTGGTAGAGGGCTGCATCGGGATTGGGTCCCGCGGAACCCAACACAAGTCTTGCGGGGGAGGGCGGTGTGAATTTTGCTGCGGGCGGGAAGGGTCGGCTGGATCGGGATGAGTACGATGGAGTCGGCAACTGATGTTGAAAAGAAGCTGAAACAAGGTTTTTATGACACAAAAACCAAAGCAAGGCAAGTCAGACATTTGGAGCAGTTTCTCCGATTGTGTTAATATTTCTCATTCAGGTCTCAGAAAAGTGACCTCGATCACTGCCTGATTACAGAGGAGAATAGAATATGAAACGGCCTTGATTTCATTATCCCTTTAAGCACCACACAGTAGCTCCTTTATGTTTATTTTTAAGAATTTTATAGGTTAAGTAGCGAGTTGTTTGAAATAACATGCGCCGATGCATCACCGGTGATCCTGGTGACGCATCGGCGTTAAAGGGTTAAAAACTAAATGAAAACAAAGTGCGTCAATCCTGACCAATGTGTTAAAAGATGTGCAGGATCCGATCAATTTGTTTTTCCCTCATTTACAGTCACGGAGATAACGGCACACTGGCTCTGGTGTTAATCAAGTTAAATTTAATCTCTTTCCAACAATTTTCACAAGAAAACAGAACAGTTAAAAGCAGGGCTTGTGTTGTGTTGACCGGATATTTCCCGTATTTGACCGTTTATTTTGACGGAGAAAGAATAGAAAGAATACGCATGCAGACGAACTGACATTTTATTGCAGATGTAGCTAAATCACCTGAGAAAAGATTCCCATCTGAACATCTGAGCTGGACACTGCTCAGCGCAGCTCACTGTCAGCGCATACATAAGGTGCACAGCGAGCTGAAGATGTGGAGAGGAGCTTGGAGCGCATCGCAGAACCAGGGCGCATGCGGGAAGGTTCCTCCCACTGAAGCAAGTGTTTTCCTAACCCTGTCTCTCAGAGAGACTGTCAGAAAATGTTCCCTGATTATGAAACTTTGGCTGAATAGTGCTTATTCCTGTCTCCAATGTGGCAACGCATCCCTGAGCCTGTCTGAGGAGAAGCCCAGAATCTCACATCCTCTTCAGCTCAGAAAATGCCAATTATGAAAAAGCGTGACCTGTCAACCCAGTCTCACAGTAAGACCGGGTTGGAACTGTTCAGGTTTACGCAGACAATCTTTACATTTAGAATTGACTTACAGATATAAAATTAATTCGGTAAAATATAAAGCATTTTATTTAAATATCCATTCATTATTTTACAAGCACAGAGAGCCGCATCAGATGGATGGAAGAGCCGCGGGTTGCCGACCCCTGGTATAGCCTATAAAATGACATGTTTTCTCCAGGACCAGAGAGGACGCAAACTCAATACATGTCTTTTATTGTGAGGTAATAATTTCTCAGAGTTTTGCGGTTGCGGGCGGGAGTAGACATGCACACAGCGGGTGCGGGCGGGAGTATAACACATGTTGCGGTTGCAGGCGGTAATGGTCAGAAATTCAGCGGGAGTGGGCAGGAGCAGGATATTTAATAAAGATAATTAAGAAAGTGACACAACATGAAAATGTACTCTGTTGTGAACACAGATGACTTAATGAGGCGAGGAGGAAGCTCCCTCTTGCTGAGGAGCAGACAGACCTCCAGTCTGAGGCGGAAGCCATTGAAAGGCCTCAAAGAAGAATTAAGTAAGAATTTTGTGAACTTTCCATTCCTCCACCTCTTGGGCCTGT